TTTTTAATGGTCACATCATTCCGTGAGTCTGCTTTTTTAATGCTCTTGATGAGATACAATCGTCTCTTTTCCTATATTTAGCTTGGTGGCCATGACTACGACTATCCAACAAAAGATGTATTCAGAATTTATTCCTCACAAGAAGATGCTTCGATAGGGTCTCCCGTTATTTCGAAAGCTGTTCAGTATTCAACGCCAATGGAGAACAATGAATGGGAAAATTCGGTACAATCGACGACGGTCGAAGAAACTGAAATCATTTCAAATCGTGACCTACTAGCAAATGCTCGAAGCGACAATGGTAGCATTCGTTCGGTCGATGTAAACCATCATTACGGTAATATGACGCATAGGCAAAATTCAGAATCGATTACGGGAGATTCTAATGAGTCTGTGCGGGATGCTTTTACCACAATTTCGGTATATTTTCGTTTCATGTTTATTTTGTTTCCAAATATATTGTAGTTGGTATGGTAAGTAGTATACACTGATTGGATTTCATGATTGTTGACGCCAAGTTTTCCTAAAGGAATTAGATTGAGGTTGCCCAATTGGATATAATGAAGATTGTTTTTCTTTTTGCGTTCTTCATTAAGACCGCTTGATATTAGCTAGTTGACTATGCGACTGTTAAGGGCTTGCTTGAAACTTCCAAAATTATAATGAATTTCTCTGGACAGTTCGAAGCAGATAGTTCTGTTACCATGTCATGACGGAGCCTAAATTGAATTTTTTGAAAGGACGAAATCACAATTAATATACTGTTGAATTTATTTCAGAAGGCATTACCGTTAAGAAATGAAGGATTTGAAATTACAGATGATGACTTATAATCGTCTTCCGGTAACGAAGACTGGCGACATTATAAAGAGATCATAATTTATAAATTAATTTCTCTCTTTAATTATTATTTTCTTCATTTGATGAGACTGCAGTTTTTGTCTTGGTTGTGCAAATTTTATTGTCAATACTTATATCCTGAACTTTTATTTGTGGGAATCTTCTCTTTTTGAACGGAAAGTATTGCAGATGTTTCGCTTAAATAGATCTTTGATTTTCATTTTTTTGATGTCACTATTTATTTATGGTTGTGTTCTTGTTTTTCGTCTCCGACTATTTTTTTTTCATTTTTTTATGAATTTTATTCCGAATAGCGCTCAGAGATTTTTCCAAACTTATAGAAATAAAATTGATCGCAATTAATCTAAACTTGTTTGCCTAACATTGATTTTGATGCTGAAGATACACTATACCGAGTGACTAGATAGTGTTGATGAGAAAGTTAATTGAGGCCAATTATTATTCTATTTCCATTTTGTCGAGATTTACTTCACATTACATCACTTGTATGCTGTATATCACTTTATCAAATGCATGAAGCAGTTTCTTTTCCTATCGTGATATTTTCCGTTATCTGTATTAATTCAGAGCGTTCGTTTTCTGCACAGTTTGGATTCAATCATCCATTTCTTCATAGTTTTGATTTAACAATCTTATGTTTATTATATAATTTTATTCGTTAGGTACGGTTTTTAACTTTTTGTTTTTGTTCTTTCTTTCGCTTCATAATTTTTTCCACTTCATATTGAAATTAATTTGTATTCTGCTTAACATTTATGTAGAAATTTTTGTTAGGAAAAATTAGGATTTTGTTTTCATATCCTTATAATACAATGAAATGCAATTAAATAAAAAAGAATTTTCTGAAATGATCACCATTTGCCCAGGCATTTGCATATTTTATGGTGCGTTGAAGGTTAAATTTGTGGATTTGTTGTGGCGGGGATCCTGTAATGTATGAAAATTTTCATTTATGAAATGTTGGGGGAAAAGAGCTCTCCAATGTTTCTTATATGGTTTTTATAATTCATGTATAAATCAATTCAAGCTATGTGTCAAATTTTTGTTTTGAAAAATAATGTTTTGATGAACGATATATATGCAAATTTGAATCAGTAGAAGAAGCGGTTATCTCGAGGAAATGCAAATTTCATTATAAATGTTTCAAACAAATCCTAAAACGCTTTAGTGATTATGTCTTACATATTTATAATATGTATAACTGGGGACAAAACTTGTGCAAATTTGTCCACTGATATTCCGAACTTTACATATATATTTGTTTTGATGTATGTATTGGAATTGAGGAATTAACTTTGGATATATTCTCATTTCCGATTAGGCATTATGCATCTTGTTCATATTTTTTTAATTTTACTTAGTTCAAACATTATCATTTTGGCTTATCTGCAAAATTAACCATTTCCTAATCTAGCAGTCTTACTTAATCCAGTAGCACCGATTGTAATTTGTTAGGCGAATATGATTTACAAGCAATCCAAAAAGTTTCACTTAATCATATTGAAAATTTATAAATTTAAATTTTTATAGAAGAAATAGCTGTATGAATCAAAAATAAAAGATCAAAATGATACGATATTAATAACTGTTTAATAATTAATGATATATATCCATCAACATTGTTTTTTGATTGAAAAGGAAGGAATCGGATAAGTATATTTCGGATTGTTATAATGGAACAGTGGGGAATATATTGAAGAACAGAATAAACTTTCAGAAGAGTATATGCATATGAAAGAATTGATGAAGTGGGGAGAATTTTTGATAAAATATCGAGAATGTGGGAGAGTTACCGTAGTAGCCGAAAGAATAAGCATCATAATCTTTTCATTCAGGAGCTTGTTCGCCATCATCTCTAATATCATCATTATCATCGTATCATCATCTGACATCGTCTGTATCACCGAACAGTGATAATTTTGTTACTGCATAATATTAATATAAACAAAAGGAGGTGAAGAGTATGGAAAAAATTGTTTGACAAATTGAAATCAAAACAAAACGAAGAAAGTAACTGTAATAACAAAACAATGAATTCAGAGATATTGATAAGGATATAACAAGGAAGAACGAATATCCTGCTATTCAGAAACAATCCTCTCGATGATTTTCAACATCAAAACATTCATTTCCATTACTTTTAGCATCTGTGACACGGTGGACAAGGAATACAGCAGCAACAGCAGTCTGTATCAAAATGCTCCCCGATAAAACATCCACAGCATAGTGCAATTAAAGCCATCAACCAACCGGAACATCCGGAATATCTCGGCCTTTCACTAAAATGCGCGGAAATTATTTGCGTACGAAAGAGAAATGGGAAAGAAGATGGTAACGATTGAGATTTTAAACGCTTGGTATTATTTGCTAGTTATATAATTCTTTATCAAACAATTTCTTTTTTAAAAATGTTTCGGTAATTCCTTACATAATTTCTATCTTCATGTTAATTGATTATAAATCATTTACATTTAATGGTTGAATTCAAGTTCTTATTCTTTCATGAAATAAAATTCTTTTTAAATAATCCTTACACAAAAGTTTACAATGCAAAAACCATCATAAATAAAGCGAAATTTACTGATAACACGGCTGTGGATAATAATAGCCTGGGGCTGGTGGATAACACTGACCTGCCGGATACGGCCCGTACGGTTGACCGGAAGGAACATGCTGCAAAAAATTAATGGAATATGAACGTAAATACAGTGACATTTCAGACAGCATAACATAGTATTATGTATGTGATAATTATAAACTATTCTAAGTTGTGCTATAGATTGCTTTTTTTGTTATTACGTTTCTAAATCTTCAAAAGGTTGAATGACATTTTAATTCAAGTTTGTAACAAATCATTAAATCAAAGCGGACAATAAAAACTGCAGTAAATTACAAATTTTTCAACTTTGTTTTCAAAAAAAAAGAATCCGCAAAAAATCTCCAACGAAATCACCAGAATGAGACTTACATTACAAAGTTTAAAATATTGAAATCAAAATGAAAAACTGGAACAAAACTGAATAAAAAATTTTAGATTTTGGCTAAATTCCTAATTTTTCAAGACAAATTTAAAAGCAAAGTAAAATTTACCATTATTAATTGGGTAATTAAACTTATATCGTATAATGCTAGCAATAATAAATGCGGAGTATTCAGAGGAAGTGACTTTTATGTGACAAGATGTCTTTCCCCTCTCTCCCTTCCCTCTCCCTCTCTCTCTCTCTCTCTCTCTCTCCCTCTCTCTCTGGTTTCTTTTCCATCGAATAAAAGCTGAAGATCGACGGTGTTGATGATGATGATGATGATGATGGTAAGCAAAAATTGACCACAAAGGTAGCATGTTACGGGAAAATGTGAAGAGCTTCTTCTCTCGCTAATTCACACCTCTTTTTTTTTTATCAATGTCCTCTTCCTATCGCTCCATTTGCTCTCCCAAAGAAAGCATAGTGAAAAAAAAAAGCCTTTCAAATTAACAATTGTATAGCTATCCAATCTTTTTTTCTCTCTCTCTCTCTCTCTTCGATTATTTCATTTTTGGAAGATAAGTAATTGAAATAACTGGAATATCGATAATGAAATAGATTTGTTTTTAGCAAGAAAAAAATAATCAAGAATTGGGATTGAGAATAATAAGGATTAATGTTGGAATAAATAAATTTTTGAAATGAAATTTTGATTCATTCAGTGGATAAAGAAAAGCGCTGATGAGTCATCTTTGTGTATGCTAAATTTTCATCTAAAATATGGTAAATAGATAAAAGAAATCCTCCTATGTGAAAAAATCTTTTTCTGTTTCTTCCTCTCTCTTCTTTCTCTCTCGCTTTCTTCATTCTTCTGCCAAATATTTCCATGATTTTCCAGATTTCTAACATTTTGAAATTTTTAAATGCATCTTTTTTTTTTCTTATGAAGCTATTTGAAATCAAACTATCATATGTTAAGCTATCACAACTCAAAGTTCTCAAATCTGTCAAGTGTACTTCTCAAAAGTCTTCATGCCTTCGAAATTAATTTATTTTGTTCTCAAAGAATCTTTTCAATTCTAAAAATTGGAAGAGTAGTATCTTAAGCTTGAATTCTTCGAATCTTCAGTCATATCCAATTTTGTTCCATCAAGCCATCTTACTGTAAAATTCAACGTTGCAGTTCAGAGGCTAAGGTTAAAAAAGTTTATTTAAAAGGAATCACTCCTAAAAAAAATTTCTTTTAAAGTTTATTTTAAAAAAAATTTTTTCTATTTAAAAAAATCGACAAATCTCAACAGTTAATGTTAGTAAGTTTTTACGAACTTATTTTAGAAAAGTCATGAAAGCTGTTGATAAATATCCTAATTTATGGATTTAAAAATTTTTTTGAATATCTCTCCAAGTGTTAAAAAGCGCGACTTATAATTACAGCCACTTCAAAAGTATATTAATTTGCTAATTTCGAATTGCATCTCAGCATCCTCCTTTCGATTCAATTGTATCACATACAAACTATGCTTATTTTCTCTTTTAAAATTGAAAAATTTACAAAGCACTACTCTTTCCTTTTTCCTCAAAATTGTTTTAATCATCTTTTAAGAATTTGATAATTATATCCATTCATTTCGTCAATGACGAAACATGAAAGAACTGGAGCAATATCACCGTGAAACAAAATCGATATGAGAAAAGATGACTTCGATTCTCATTGACTCATTCGTCTGTTTTTTTTTTTTTTTTAAATTTGAAATTACAACCAATAAAGTGCAGATAAAATTACAGACTGAATCAGATTTCTATTGCATTATTTTAGAAACATCAGAATTTCGAAACATTATACCGTGATATGTTTGTTCACCTTTTCAATAATAACAATTCAAACATTTTAGTAAAATTTCTTTTTTTTTTTTTTGAAACTATCAAATGCACGAAATCAGTTCTGATCATTTTTTTCCCCTTTTTTTGCATTCTTTTTATCTTTCACAGATTCTAAGATTCGAAGAAGG